ACAGCGAGGCGGTGCGCCGGTGGGTCGCCGAGGCCGCGCGGACCGTCCGGCAAATTCCGCCTCCGGTCGTCGTACCATCTAGTTCGCAGCAACATCATCATCAATCGCAGCAAACGTCGCAACAGCAGCCGCACAGACAACAGCAGCAGCATCACCATCATTCCAGCCATCGGCAACGTCAAGAGCCGAGCCCACCCTCGGTGGGAAGTTCCCCTTTCGTTTTGCCGTCGATGACGCAGACCCCCAGCATGCATCTGCTGGAGAACAACAACCTGGTCGAGGTTGCGATAGCCCAGCAGCAACAACAGTCTCAGCAGCAGATGCAGATGCAGCAACAGAAACAGAAGCAGACCAGCCCGACCAACAACAACACCATAGAAGCTTGGAGGTCTATCCAGGGTGGCCACCAGTGGTGGAGTCCGCCCAGTAGCGTCCATCAGGAGCAACAACAGCAAGTATCGCCTATAGGACAGCAAGTCAGCCAGGCGCAAAGTTTGATCGCCGGTTCGGTGTGCGGACAAGCACAGAGGCAGCAGCTTCAATCGGAGATCGACCAACCGTTGGACTTTTCGGTCGGTTCCCTTCAACAGCAGAGGCTGCACTCGCGCGTGAGGACTATGCACGAAAGACTGCAAGGTAGGATGCACGACAACAACAACGGCACCGCCAGCGGACAGAAGATGATCAGAGGAACGGCTAGCAGGAGAAGTTACAGCCCTAGCGATGGTAGCAGCAGCAGCAGCGAGGACGAAGGAGTCTCCACCGGAGGCAGCCCCACCGGACCTCTCCGCGGCAACGAGAACGGTGAGTCTGAATTACATGCAAATTTCTTATCGCGCTCTATTATTCATTTTCGGCGAACAGATGGTATCGCGATGACGAACGCGTGCGTTGATAAGTCGCAGTGACGCAACGTATTGTACAATCGTCAGATTAAGAGCACTTTGAATACACCTGCAACTTAACAGGTTCACAATTTTGCATCCGCTTGCGCAATTCGAGTCAGTCATTTTCTCGGAAAATTTTTAATCTTTCGTGGATCGTGCATGTGGGTTTAGGTCAGAGTTGTAAGGGTTAAGGGCTGTGTCAGTCTTGAAATATTTACTGTATTTTTGGGAAAATGAAAAATATCTTCTTATCACTCTTTTCGTTTAGGTAATCGATCATTAAACGATGTCGCGAATAATTAATAACAGCGATTAATAATGCGTATCAGTTGTATTAATAATTACGTTTATAGATTTATTGCGTTCATTAATTAACGAAGTTGAAAATATCTTTAAACTTGTTTTTGTCAAAACTACGTACAAGGAAATTCTTCTGCAAAATTATAAAATTTCGTCGAATGATCGAGGAATACAAAATAGTTTCCCAAAGTATCGTCCTCGCAGTGATCAAAGGGTATAAATCGAACGCGTGCGTCACGGCAGCCGCTGTTTGTCGACGGGGTAACACGAAACCATGCTGGATTTTGGGGAAAATCGTGGTTCAGCTGTCAATGGTACATACTGAACACCCCCGCAACACCTTGTCCTTTTGTTGCCTGGAAATGGTCTGTTATTGTCGGTTCGCTCCGTAATGCAACCCCTCTAAAAACGTGCGTTACCTGAAAGGACGAACGGGTTTTCTCGGTTCGCGCTTCCATACGCAAAACGCGTTCGCCAATTCCGGCATGCGTTTTACGATGGGAAGGTAAATTCCCTTTTAGAAGAGGTTCGTTTCGCTCCGCGTTCCTCGCTCGCCGTGAGCGTGCAGCCTGCACGATTCCCCTCGGCGATAAGAGGGAATTCTTCTTGGATAAATTCGTGCAACGTATCGTTTCGCGAGCGTACAAGGTAATAAAGAATATTTGTACGCGTACGGAGGGAATATAATTAGCCCGAGAAGAGAGAAAGGTTTCGCTCGACACGTTCGGACGACGCGTCGGCTCTGATCTTACAATAGGGCTCTCTGTTACGCTCGGTTAATGCTGCGCAAGTATTAATATCGATGCTAGTTTTACCGTGACAGCTCCGAGATGAGCTTTTTAACGACATGCGAACCTTCGTATACATATGCATAACGCGCACCGGACTTAATATTAGTACTTCATGAATTAATATTAGCACTTCATTAATTAATATTAATTCGTGGCATTAGCACTTGATAATTACTTGCTTTGAATACTAAGTATTAATACCTAGTTTTAATAGTTAATGGACGCTTTGGATGAATATTAAGTGTTACTTGATGAATACCGAGTTGCTTTAATAACTTAGAATACTAGTTTTAATACTTGATAAATACTTTGCACAAATAGTAGTACTTCATACAGTCGTTCTTATTAATATAATTTGCTCATGGCAATAATTGTCGAATAGAAAAAAAATCTATGTAGTACGTTATCGAAACGACAGCATCGTTATTTAGTGGAAAACGGAATAATGGTCGTTCGACGAGCGCCACTCGTCCGTAATCGTGCTTATCTAAAAAAGAAATCTGCGTTTAAGCCTGATTAAAGTGTGTCCGTAATTTACGCCTTATTAATCGTATGAGTCACACGTGAAATTGGAGTTTTCGGCTGTGTATGTGCTTTTTCCTGGCACACCTTAATATCTCGCCTTAATTTCTACTTCTTTTTAAAAACTTCTTAGATCTCTATCTTTGGAAATTTCCCGGAGTCGCAAATTCTTAGATTTCTAGAAACTCGATGTTCCCAACTTCCAAAATATTTAAATGCATTCTGAAATCTTCAATTTTTTGATCTTCCGAATTCTTAAATTGTTTACTTGTAAATTTTAAAATTACTAATTTCTTAAATTTCCTCAGGTTCTAAAATTTCGTGGCGTACCGCATGTTTCCGTGAAAGATACGCGATACGGACGTGATCCAGTTTATTAATAAAATTGACAGCAAACGTTATCTTCATTGAAGGGAATTCGATGGACACGTGGACGGCCACGTATGAAACTATCGTAGGAGTTGGCTCGATTTCGACACCGTTCGCTGATAAAAAGAATGGAGGCTGAAAGGGAAAAAGAATGCTCGAGCACCGTCGACTCCGGTTTGCCGACGATAAGCCGCTGATTATTCCGTAAAAACTAAATATTATTGTATTTATACCTGCCGATGCGACCACGGTTATCTTTCGTGTTTATTATCGCGGCGTAATGTGTCGCGAGCCGCGATAAGGCGAACATAAGAATGATCGTAATTAAAACGATACCAGCCGATCATTATCTGATTTTAAACAGCCGGATCTTTTATTAGTTTCAATAAAATGCAAGGTAAACAACGGCGAGACTGATAAGCCGGGTAATTTGTTGCAAATTACCCGTAAAAAATAATATAATCGATTTATTGCGAAATCGTTACATGCGCGAAATTGAGCAACTTTGTAAGCGAGAGCCTCGATAATCAACCGCGGAAAAGAAGTGAATAAAATGTCGAGTTATCTCTGATTTCGTGTCATCGATAACGGCTTGGAGTATATTACGATTAATCCGCCAGGCAATTATCGTCCTCTTACCTGTCGGTCATGTGTGCGTGCGATCGAGTCTACATAATTGCACTAATGTTGAAAAAAAGAAAGAAAATGCAACGGCAAACAAACGACGTGGCTGGTGAAAAATGTTAACCGATATCGTATCTGTCGATAAGATGCTAGAGCTCTAAGGCTTGTTTGAATAAATATTCCACGTAAGCGCGTGATCGTGAGGACGGTTATTTTCGATGAGCAACGCAATACCACGAAAAACTCATTTTTTTAAGTGAAATCGTAGAGTGCCCCAGATAATGGCCGCCTTATATAACCGTAATTACTTGGACTTCGTTTACAAGAATATTTAACCAATAGACAATTCTCGGATTGTTCACCATAGTTGTACTTTATGTAGAACCTGTTTTCCAAAGGTAGTTCTATTTTTCAGAAGATGCACAAATGAGTCCTTCAATTAATGAAAGAGTATCCACGCTTTGTAATTCCACGCGTTGTAATTCCATACGTTGTAATTCCATTTATTGTATTTCCATGGATTGTACTTCTATTCGTTATATTTCTACGCGTTAGGTTTCATATATGTAATATTTTTACATATGTGTTTACGTGCGTGGTATCCCTCACGCTTCATAACTCCGCGCTCTGTATTTCCACGCGTTGTAATTCCATTTATTGTATTTCCATGGATTGTACTTCTATACGTTATATTTCTACGCGTTAGGTTTCATATATGTAATATTTTTACATATGTGGTTACATGCGTGGTATCCCTCACGCTTTGTATCTTCACGCTCTGTATTTCCACGCGTTGTAATTCCATTTATTGTATTTCCATGGATTGTACTTCTATACGTTATATTTCTACGCGTTAGGTTTCATATATGTAATATTTTTACATATGTGTTTACATGCGTGGTATCCCTCACGCTTCGTAACTCCACGCTCTGTATTTCCACCCGTTGTAATTCCATTTATTGTATTTCCATGGATTGTACTTCTATACGTTATATTTCTACGCGTTAGGTTTCATATATGTAATATTTTTACATATGTGGTTACATGCGTGGTATCCCTGACGCTTCGTAACTCCGCGCTCTGTATTTCCACGCGTTGTAATTCCATTTATTGTATTTCCATGGATTGTACTTCTATACGTTATATTTCTACGCGTTAGGTTTCATATATGTAATATTTTTACATATGTGTTTACATGCGTGGTATCCCTCACGCTTCGTAACTCCACGCTCTGTATTTCCACCCGTTGTAATTCCATTTATTGTATTTCCATGGATTGTACTTCTATACGTTATATTTCTACGCGTTAGGTTTCATATATGTAATATTTTTACATATGTATTTACATGCGTGGTATCCCTCACGCTTTGTATCTCCACGCTCTGTATTTCCACGCGTCGTAATTCCACTTATTATATTTTCGCGCGTTTTACTCGCACAAGTTCAGTTTCCACGTGTTGTACTTCCACGCGTTGTATTACAATCTTCTTTACACATGTTTTTTGCAATTTTCGCGCGAACGACCTTGTCCGTTCGGATTACACCATAGCAGGGGAAACGTAATTACTTCGATCCCCTTCTTCTAGCCCCGCTAATATATGTTCGATACAGAGGGAATATAATTAATCCTGGCAAGAAACACGCGCAGGACCGCGCACCTTGTTGTGGCTATCTTCGATAGCCGATTGCAGTTCAACAGGGCCTACGGACCTGTTCTACGGGCCGGGGTCCTCTCTACGTGTATTACGGTGTAACGTGATACGTGTTTGATTCTATGTTATTTACGGGCAGGTGTGCCGCGCAACAATGTTTATCACATAATTAGATTCTATGCTCGAGCAATCTCTATCGCGCGTCAGTGAGCCGCGAGGTCCATAGCTGGAAATAACGCTTCACGCTGGATGACCCCCTCGTTCGATAACAATAATTTTCTTAGATACGCTCTCCATATTGATTTCATACCTCGATGTCCTGTACGTGTCTGTCTTCGCTTTTTACATATGCGCTTTTTTATTCAGAGTTTCTGTTCCTTTCTTTTATGGAAGGATTCTTGTTACAGCGCCATTTTTTCGTGTACCTTAATGCGCGGTAGTGGCGATACTCCATTATGGCGTGTAGGGATTCACGGAGACCACCGTGAGTTACAACGCTCTCGTGTTGTAAATTGTGCTTTATTTTTGCAGGTGTTGTTCTTTTATATATTGCGTTCTAACGCGTTGTGTTTGTGATAGGTTCTCATATGTGATACTTCTACATATGCGTCGTATCTCCACGCTTTGTAATTCCACACGTTGTAATTCCATTTATTGTA